AGCTCTGTGTGGCAGGACGGGTGGCACGTACAGAGTTTGGTAGTCAGCTGTACCAGCAGCTCTTCACCAGGCTCTAACCACAGGCAGGTCTTGCACATAGAGGGTTACCGCTGCCTCCAGGGTTCTGCTGCAGGGCAAGGACTTGAAGTAGTTAAGCGAGAGAGTAAGAAATGTCAGACAACTTAGACATTACTTTTTCTCTCAACGTTTGTGTTTAGCCCCCCACAGCCTGACTGATGGACACTCACTTGAGCAAAGCTGCTTCCTCTCATAAATCTTGATCTTGCAGTAGCTGGGTTGTGGTTTGGAAGCTGGGGAAGAGGCTGTGCTACGTGTCTCAGCTTGTGCAATGAGAAGTGTGACCACCTTATCTGAGGGTTGTATCTGACCAGCTCTGCTTCCTCCCCAGGATTGCGTGCTCCATGCCATTTGGGGTGCTCTGCTACTGCATGATGTGGTTCACCCTCTCAGATGCCACCCCCACCTCCTTGAAATTCCTGTGGTACCTCTTCATGTACAGCTTCTTCCAGACTTGCATGACTGTAAGGAACGTGGTAACATGGTGTCTGGGGCTGACTCTCTTACACATCATCCTATGCTGCAAGGAACGGGGACACGGTCAGCTGGGGAGTCCCAGCCCTAGCCTCCCCAGGAAGGGACCTGGAGCGGAGTCTGAGAGCGCTCTAGCTGGGGAGCAGTGAGGGATGCAGGATGTTGCAGACCATCCCTGCAGGGATGGTGAGGGTGAGACGGAGCGGTGCATTTTAATGCTGGGGATTCGGCTGGGCTGCCTCTATATGGGGATGTGAATTTCTTCATCACTGGTTTGGGGGAACAGAGCAAATCACAGAAGAGGGTGAAAAGCCACCTCTGGGCAGGGGTGGCACAGAAGGCAGCATTATCTGCTGTGTGTAGGGACGAGGGGGGTCGTGACCAGCAAACCAGGGAAAGCAGCAGCCAGAGCTGTGTTTGAACCGTGCTCTCCCTAGTGCCACCACGTGCCGTACTCTTCCCTGACAATGTTCCTGGGAGGAACCCAGAGAGACCGTGACTCAGCCACTGCCTACAGTAAGTGTCTGTGCCCCTACAACCCCTGGCTGCCGGCGTTCCTGGGAGACTCTCCCCAGAGGAGAGGTGAATAAGTTCCTCTGGCTTTGATCAGGCTGCAGAGTGGATGGGGTAAACCAGGGATATGAAAATAGGGATGAAACCCTGTTTTTAAAATCTTCTGCAAACAATTTACCTGCAGAAACGTTTCTTAGATCTGTATCGTCCCTAGGGGACTCGGGACCCAGATTTATTGGTTCCAAACATTAGAGCATTTACTGCTGGAGCCAAGGGGAAAAAAAATCAGAGCAGATAGAAATAACAGGTCTCTCCTTCTGAGGCAGCTCTGGATGTTGGTGCCTCCAATTTCATTCCCAAAGCTGGTCTCTTACCCTGACGGGTGTGCCCCATCAGCCAGGGAGTGGGACTGAGGTTTCTCTCCCGGTCGTCCTGGCAGGAATGGGGATGGAGGTGCTCAGCACGCTCCTTGGGTCAGGAATCCAGGGGCAGATTGTGGGCAGTTACCATGCCCACATGACGAACGGCTGTTACGTGTCAAACAAGACCCTGCCCAACACCAGCACCTACAGCCTCACGGACTCTCTGGAGAACACGGTAAGGGCTGGCTTGTCTGCTGCCTGCTCCTCCTGTAAGCTCTGGGGCAGGCGCTGCTGGCCGTGCTGCCAGCTCTGTGTGTGGTACCTGCGTTGTCACTGTGCACTGTCTCTTGTTTTCCAGCGTAGGGCCTATGTATTTGCATCCCTGGTCCTAGGCTCAATCTATTGCCTGTCCTGTCTGATTCTCATCTTTGGAGTCAGGGAGCAGCCTGGTAAGGTCCATTTAGATCCAGTTTGGAGGGTGCCCAGTGGCAGTGGATGGTGAGGGTGAGGTTGCAGAGGAAGGTGTGAGGCAGAGGGAGCTGGGCTCCTACATGGGGGATGGCTCTCTGGGTGTGGGGTTCAGAAACACGCACATACTTGGATGCTGAGACCCTCCTTGGTTTGTGCTGGCAGCATCTTCCTCCCGCAGAGGAGAGGGGAGATGCTCTGGAGGAAGGAAGGCTCAGGCTGCCTGGGAGCTCCTGCAGGGAGCCGTGGGCCTGGGACAGGGTCTGCAGCTCACTGCTTCACACTGAGCACGTCTCGCCAACACACAGCCTGCAGAGCTAAGCAGGCCAGCCCGAGTGCGCAGTGTAAAGTGGCAAAATCCTGCCTGTAGCTGATACTGTGGCTGTTGTCTCTGCCCGGAGACATGAGACCCTGATAGCTCCTCACCCAGCTGAGCTGCACCCCCGACATAGCGGCACAATCTCCCTGTGCCTCCTACCCCGTCGCGTTTGTTCTGGCAGCTCCAGTGCCAGCCCTGCTGTCTCTTCTCTCAGGGCTCCTCAGCCCCCTGGGGAAGGTTGAGCTGCCCTTTGCCAGCTGCCTGAGGATGATCGTGGGACACAAGCCCTACACCCTTCCAGGTGTGAGACCTGCCACGGCAGGAGAACTTGGGGATGAGATGTCTGGGCAAGTTATCCAGACAATGAACTCGGGGACCCCCAGCCATGAGCATGTTGCTTTCCCAGATCACACAGGGGATCTTTGCCTTCTTCTGTACTCATGCTGCGGGGCTGGGTGGCAAGTTCCAGCATTTGGTGCTTATCATGTTGGTAAGTGAGCCCCAAAGAGACTTTCCTGGTGGAGGGGTTAATCCTTGGGTCACCCCAGCCCTCGAGCACGGGCAGCTCAGCCTCGTGGAGTCATGCGCTGCTGCTTCTGCCCATCAGCAAGGATGTCACCCAGGCAGAGACTGGCAGTCCTGGGGGACATTTCTGAGACTCCCCTTTGGTTCTCTCCTCAGGTCACAGCTTCCCTCTCTATTCCCTTTTGGCAGTGGTTTTTGGGGAGATTTGGAAAGAAAACAGCAGCATCACTGGGCCTGGCGGTGAGTTTGCCCGTGGTTGTGGCTGTGGACTGAGATGCTCTGTGAGGGGACAGCCTTGCCCCCAGGTGGTCATGGTGTCTGGGGAGAAGAGCTGGCTGGCAGCTAAGGGTGACCCTGAGCACGGCGTCCTCTGCGCTGCAGGTGACCAAGAGTAAGCCAGTAGTTGATGGCAGGTCTGCACATCCTTGTGTTTGGCCACTGCTGGTATCAGTGGCCATGGCTTCGCAGAGCTTTGCAGTAAGGTGCAGGGAGGCCGAGGGACCGTTCCTGGGACAGTGGGGAAATGATTTTTTGCGGCATCACCCAACCAAGGGCTCAGGCTCTGAGACGCAATGGCTGCAGATCTGGTGAGCAGCGTGTGATCAGATGCTGTACTGCTGCACCAGTCTCGTGTGCACACACAAACATAGTCCTGTGGCCTCTGTCCTGCTCCAGGATCTGGCATGCTCGACGCAAGTGATCCAAGTTCTGCCACCCAGCTCTGTGAGAGGCACGGGGAGGGAAGGAAGGGCTGTGCGCCACGCTTGGCAGTGGCTGGGAAACAGCCTGCTCATCAGACACATGTCCCGGCTACTGCCTGTCCCTGCAGGTCAGGAAATCCCATTTGGCTTTTTTGCAGAATTAGGTCCTCAGATCCCACTGAGGATCTATCTCCAGATGCCTTCCTCACAGACATTGGGTGCAGCCACAGCGGATCCAGCTTTCAGGTTAACCACTGGGTTCTGTTGCCCTCCATAACTATCCCTTCTTTACCCACGAGGAAGGTTTTGCTGCCAGTGTCAGCCTGTCCAGGGCCTCCACGCTGCACCGCATAGGGGACAGAAGCAGTTCTGTTTATGAAGCGTGTGGGGAAGGGGGGAGCGTGGCCTTTGGTTGGGGCAGACCGGTGCAAGCTGCCTGCGAGCAGCAGAAAGAGCCCATGTGCTTTTGTTTCTCCTCTTCCTCTTGCTGCTGCAGCTGATCATCCCAGCCCTGGTAGCCATCACCCAGGTGATGCACAACTTCCTGGCCTTCGTCTTCCCGGTGATCGTAGCAGGCTGCAGCATGGCTGTGCTCTACCTTTTACCATGGTGAGCAGAGGCACCTCTGAGCCACTTGTCAGGCAGGGAGGAGGGGAAGGTTATCGGGAAAGCACTACCCATGACGTGCCAAGACTGCCCGTTTGCTCAATACAGCAGCTTTTGGGCTGCGGAGGGACCTGTGGAGGTGAGACTGGGAAGGGATGTGGACGTGACCCACGGTCCCCCAGCAGCATCATTCAGTCTGTGTTCGGGTTCAG